ATTCTTTCTTTTCATACTCATTGTAATATACCTGGCAAAGCACTTGTCATATCCCGAACACAAAACGAAATCGAAATATGTTGTACACCCGAGCACTTAACAAGAAAATGATATTAACAAATCATATTTCAATTTGAGCTGAAAGACCGGGAAAAAAAAATAAAAGAAACGGCACAAAGTAAAAAGTTGACACATCAAAAATGCGAATATATGAAAACATTCTTTCAAAGAAATCAATATGCATAAAAGACAGCAGCAACAACAACAACAAAAAAGACGACAAAAAAACAACAATAAACACACACTTACACACTTACACACACACCAGCAATACGCACAACCATAAACAATAAAACGTTAAATTGCTTTAGCGCTGCCCAAAATCGAAATCAAAATAAAAACAATAACAAAATACGCAAGCGCAAACAAAAGACTTAAGCGACAAACTCTTTTAGGGCAGACAACTTTCTCAGCGCTTGAAAGAATTTCGAATTGTGCCGCATAGAAAAATACGCGAGAAATGTGTGAATATTTGCATTCTGTTAAAGATACTTATAAAAAGTTGTTTAAGAATGGTTTTTTTAATTTTTTTATTGCTGTAAATCAAAGTCGCGTCATCTGCTTTTTGACCCAGTTAACCAAATGCGAGAAGACCCGTAAATTATGCAGAAATCACATTTGACGGTCTATCTTTATATAGATGTGTTTATACATATTTGCACAGTTTTATTTTTGGGTTTTTGGATTTCTTGGCACGCATTTATGCTAGGGAGCGCGCGGGAAATTCTCAAGGTGTTTCTGGCCGAACGTGTTGAGTTGTTGTTGAGGCAGCGCTCTACAAATGGAAAAACTTAAATCAAACGGTGTGTGTGTGTGTGTGTGTGTGTGTGTGTTGTGGCGTCAATTTCATAAGTTTACAAATCGGTTTAGTCACAGCAACTATAACATTAACAGATGACATGATAACGCATTTATTTTGACATTTAATGTCAAGTGGCCAGCTGATTATGAAAACTCAAAACTAAAGTTGAAGCTAAAGCTGAAGTTGAAGCTTGCGCCATGCTCATTAATGAATTTTGAGCCCCTTGGGATGCTGTTGTTATGCGATTATGTTGTACAATATTTATTTTTGTATCACTTTTTGCATAATGTTGGCTTTTGGAAAAATGTATTTTTAGACTTTGCAACTAATGACTGTGCAATAGCTTAAGCCACATATTTTGGGACTTACTTAAACTAGTTTGAACAATTTAATCACATTCTAAAAATAGCCAAGTCGGGGAAATCAGAATATTGCGTCGTAATGAAAGCGAAATTGTGGCCAGTGAAAGCAGGATTATCAAAATGCGAGTGCACTCAAACGATGAAATGATAATCATAATTAAGATGGACAGAGAGAAACTCTCTGATAAATAGACACACGTTAAAATATTTGCTGCAAATGCAATGACAGCTCATAAGTTAAATGTGGCTGTGCATAGTAAAATCACAAGTGGTTTAAAATAGTAAACTTATCAAAATTATTCAAGGATAACGTTTTGAAAACATAGCCAAAGGCATCTATTTAAATAACTAAATAAATGTATATAAATATATCATTAGTCTTTTATTCCATATTTCATATGTAAGTGTAATTAAATATATCAGAAGTCTTCCATATTCATAAATCATTCAAAGCACAGGCTTCAACCAAACAACTAAATGAATTTCCATAGATAATGCATTTTCGATTATGCTGCATGCATTTCTTATAGTTAATTCATAAATTTGAATAAATACACTTTCTTAAATTTCGTTTGATGCGCCCCTCTGCTTATCAATGTATCTTCATCTGTATTAATGCTATTATATATGCTTACCGCTTGCCTTATTTAATTTATGGGCTTCAAATCGGAGCTTTATCAAGTATTACAAATCTCCATAAATTATATGCCGAATGTGAGTGCCTGCCACATACAAGCAAGAACAATTTATTCGCACTGGTAATCAAGTTTCTATATTGTTAGAAACCCGGCGACTTCTTGTAAATAAAAACACACAAATGGCGCTTATGGCAACAGGGATATTACGAACCGTTTGATAAAGAAAATATTTTAAAAGAGAAAACAAAGAACATTTCATTTGTTGGCTCATATTAAAAATAGATGTGCTACATTTTGCAAGGTCACATTATTATTATTATTTTCACCATGTAATATGTAACTCATAGAAGGAGACATCTCCGACCCATAAAGTATATATATTCCAGATCAGCATCGACAAGCGAGTCGTTATCGGTCGAAATATAGGTAACTTCTATATAACTATATAGTCAATATTCGAATGAAGCTGTCGAGTAGTACAAGCTGTTAAAAATGTGTCTCCTATTTGCATAACTTTTTAACTGTTATTCTGCGAATGCATGTATTATGCCAGCAGACAACTTGGACTTGAGGGGCTTTGGCCCTGCTATGAACTGTGCACACAAGAGCTGTGTGGGGACAGCTAAAAAAAAAATACTCATTTTTTGGCCTTTTAACACAAATATAAATATTGTAGAGCGCACTCAAGTCGTTGGCGACTGTTGCCACAATACTCCTTGGATGTTTGGCGCCCAACTTGTTTTATTAAATCACTTTGACATAATGAACCGTTATGCCAACAATGAAAAAGCGCTACCAAAGTCTTCACAACAATAAACACAACAACGGCAGCGGTCCAGTCCAGAGAGCTGTAACCTTGACTGAAGCAAATCCAAAAAGCCAAGACTCAAGTGCCTGGCTTTGGGCGTTCATGTTGTAATGTCTGTGTTGTTACAATTTTGGTAAAAGTGCAGCGTCAGTTGTCGTTGAACCCGTACAAAAATAGAAAGTTACTTAGTGTATATTGATACAGATACAGATGCAGATGCAGCTGCAGATACATATACTCGTGCTGCCATAGATATAGATACATTTGCCACCTTCCATGCTTAGCTGGCTGTAAACTCATTAGATTGCTGTTTAGTTTGCGTTTAGCATGCAAATATCAAGCCGTAGAGGTATTTACAGCTTAATCAATTTTGACGGAGCATTACAACTAGCTGTTAACGCGCCTAACATTAGCTGTTTAACAGTAGCTGACTTAACAACAGTCAACTGATTATTCACATACACACTTTACAGAATCAGATACGCGTGCTGTTATAGTTACAGATAAATATACACAGCTCATTAAATTGTTGCTTATCTGGCGGTTATCAAGTTGGCTTCACAGCTGTATAATAATTGTACATTACAACTAGCTGTTAGCTGGTTTAACAGCAGCTGCCTAACAGTAGCTCACAAAACAGTCAACTGATTATTCACATACACACTTCATGGAATTAGATACTTGTGATGTTATAGTTACATAAACTTTCATGTTCAGTTTGCTGTAAACTCATTACATTTTTGCTTAGCTGGCGCTTAGCACCCAATATCAAGTCATCTTTGCAGCTATAGAATTCTTGTACGTTAAGCAGCTGTTTAACAGTCAGCTGTTGTTCACATACACATACACCCTCTACATTCTACAGCTGTAGCTCAACAGTCTCTGCTGTCTCGTATTTGGCCTAATGTATTGTGGATGCTTGTGTCTTCCTTCTTATTGTTATTGTTTATGTATTCTTCTTTTTTTTTGTCATTAGGCTCTGTCTTGGGCAATTATAATGCTAATGTTTCTATTCATGTAGAGTACATAAAAGCATTTTGTTCAACGAAATTCATTAAACGATGTGCCCATGCGACATTCTGTGTTTGGCATGAGTAATTGCTTAAACAAATTGCGCAGCAATGTGTTTTCAGTAAAGTTTTTAAATTATGTTTTGCGGTTGAATGAAAAGAATATTTAAAATTTTTGAGAAACACCTGTATATGCCGAAGTATTGTGCTCAACCACATATTAACAGAACGATAATTTATGCATTTTTAAATGCTTAAAACTATTTAAAAAGCTGTTTCTACTTTATTTGTGGTTAAAAAAAGAAAAGTATGCAAAAGATTAGGTGCCGCCCCCGGGTGGACTCGAACCACCAACCTTTCGGTTAACAGCCGAACGCGCTAACCGATTGCGCCACGGAGGCTATTGAGCGCTGCTTGTCTAATCTCACTTTCATACTACGTGACAGAATTTCTTACTAGAATTTTGACATTAGCATTGTGTGTTTTTTTGTGCTAGGTTCAACTATGTTAAAATTCACCCCGCACACATGGCCTCCGTGGCGCAATCGGTTAGCGCGTTCGGCTGTTAACCGAAAGGTTGGTGGTTCGAGTCCACCCGGGGGCGGCTTATTATTTTGTCTTTTTTTTCGATTGTGAATGTTTTACACTTGAGGGCTTAAGTTAATTTTTCTTTGAACGCTTTTCGTATTTCATTTACTTTGTAAACAAAAACAAATTTTTGCTGCCGCAGCTAATGATAAATAAGCAAGTATATTTATGTTGTTTATTATAGCTCTGTACTTGACTTCTATAATCATGTTAATGTGCATTATTAGTTTATTTTTGTGTAGTAATTTATTTTATTGTTGTGTTTTGTTAGATGAACAAGGGCATTTATATTTTTTTCCTCTTAAATTCATTTAGACATCTAAAAACAATGCGTGTGTTAAGTTTAAGGTGAAGGTGTCGATGAAAAAAGCCGAATAGACACGGCAGCACCAATACGAATGTGTCTACCAACCTATAAGCAAACAGCGACAAACCTCATATATATGTATATGCATTTATAGCCTATAATAACAACTCCAATCTACCTTTGCCTTATGTCTTTCACCTTCACTAAACAGCACACATTAGAGTTCGACTTGCACGCAATTGAAGCTGAGCTTTTAAAGCGTTCACCTCAAAATAGATCTTGAATTGTAGTTGTTAATTTTTTCGTAACTCAACAAAGGCTAAGCGAAGCTATATTTTCAAAGCAATTTCCTCAAGCTGAGGCTGGGGAATCACTTATTAAGATAGCTTGGTGATGTCTAATATAATTTTCTTTTCATCTTGCAGATGACTTGCGGCATATCGTGTGTCGACAAGACACTAAACAAATCGTTTTATCATCTGGGCATTTGCATAGCCAAACATCCGGGCTATTTTGTGATCATACCCGTGATGATAACGCTGCTCTGCATGACGGGGTGAGTTTTAAATAAAAACAAAAGGAAACGTAAAAACCTACTTGATTATAGTTTTTATTATATTTGAATTTCCATTGTGTCTCCTTGTTATTTTATTATGCAGCTATCAGCAATTAAAGTACCAAATCGATCCCGAATATCTGTTTTCACCCATTAACGGCGAGGGTAAGGCCGAGCGTGCGCTTGTTGAGCAATATTTTAAAGTGAATTATACGCACCGCTTCAATGTGGGACGCATTACGAGGCCTGGTAAGTTGGAACAACAATAACAACAACAACTAGTTGTGTCTATATGCATGGGAGGGGCAACAAAAATTGTTGGCCATAATGGCAAACATTGGGCAAGTGAAATGGCTCGACGACACCCATTTAGTCATCCAATTAAAAATTGCAACACTTTTTGCACCACACGACGACGACACGTTGTCTCAGTTTCGGTTCCCCGAAATACACACGTTTCGCAAATATTACCCAGAAAGCAGTTTGCTTCTAACATTTGTTTCGCGCGCGCTGACTTTTTGAGTTCAAGACTTACCCTTTAAGAAAATCAGCGGTTAGAGATGAAATGTGTGGGCACCGTTTTATTAGGGTCTTGAACCGCAGCAGCGTTTCTACACGCTATTAACTACGCTAAATGGTTTATTAGCCTAGCCAGAGCCAACAACAATGGCCAACAAATGATGCAAAATTTGCCAAATGACATTGTGCCAGATAAGAAAACAAAAACAAAACACTTGAGACAGTTGCAGTTAAATGTAAACACAATAAACTTGAAGATGTTTCCAAATCAAGACAATTTATTATTCATGGCAATTGAAAAATTAACTACATTTATTTCATTGTCTAGACTGCGATTATTGTCTCCAACAAACACATCTAAATACATATGATTCGCATAAACTAAAACAAAAACATTTGTTCAGTCGAACATTTAGAAATTATATTCTATGATAAAATTACTCAATAATAAATAAATAAAACTACAAAAATAATTGTTGGTACATTTTAGGATTTTAATACGCAAAGCGCTAATCTCAATTGTATGCATTAGCCAAAAAAAAAAAATTGAATAGGTGGTTAGAAAAAAGTACTTCCCATACCGGGAATCGAACCCGGGCCTTCTGGGTGAAAGCCAGATATCCTAGCCACTAGACCATATGGGAGGCTTGGGAAAACTGAACAAAATGATCAAATTTTAGTCGTTGTTCAAATATGATAAAGCAAAACATTTTAAAGAGCTATGAATCTATAAACTAAAAATAGACTTGGAATTCTAATTATACTTAGTGCACTCGAACCAATTTAGACAAGGGTACCTGCTTTAGTTAATCAAAATTAGGTTTTGCAAATACCTCAGCTTTAAAATCCGATTTCTGTGATTCACGAATTCATAAGTATTCGCTGTAAAAAACATTTTTAAAAAACTCATTAGTGGTTTATACAAAAGCCCAGCGCCCACACAAAAGCTGTTGGCGCACAATGCGGGTCAACAATAAACGTGTAGTAAGTGTTCAGTTTGGTAAAAGTTATTTTGCAAAATATTAATGCGAAAAAAATAGTTGCACAAATTGAAAAACGTGTGCACTATGCGAAATCGAAACATTAAAAGCAAGCACAAACGCCGTAAAAGTAAACAAACAAAAAAAATCATCAAAAATAATGAGCACACAGCCAAGATTGGCGCTAATATTATAGCGCTGGACTATAAAATTAAAATTAGAGTGAGAAAGAGAGAGAAAAGATACGAAAACATTAAAAGCTATGCGCAGATTAGCAAATGATTCTTGCGAAATCTGCTGGCCGCATTCTGTGTAGAGCTGCACTCGATGTGCAACGAGGTCTTAAGTATTGAGCGCTCATATGAGTGGTTGATTTTGTTGCCAGAGTTCGACTTAACCACTTAATCACGCATTCATTCAACAGTTGTGAGTGTGCGTGTGTGTGTGTGTGCTTGTGTGCGTGTGCGTAGCATCATTGAACTTTGGTTTTGACAATCACAAATGCTGAAGAAGATGCACACAACAAGTCGAGCGAGTTGCGGCCAGCCACAAGAGCTGCAGCAATAGCCCCAGTAACAGCAGCAGCAGCAGCAACAGCAACAGCAGCAGTAAGCTGTTGCATTTCAAACTAACTGTTTATGGGCATTATCTAGACCGCATTTAGACGGTTACGACCAGTTAGCTGCGCTTCGCTTGACTTGCACTTTTGGCCGTAGCAAATGTGTGTATTCCCAGACACGGAGGCGATTTCAAATGCTTAAAACCCAAACTGAGACCAATGCAAGCGCGCACGCTTGCCATGTTGCATGTGCCATGTGGCAAATAAATTGTGTAGCACTAGTGCAACCAACTTTCGCCCGTCTCGTGAAATTAAGTATATTATTTTTATGTAGCGCAACTAAAAGTTGCTTCCATTTTTCTTCAATTTTTTATCTTTTCTTTTCCTTTTTTTGCATTTTGGTTAAATGTTATATAAATTGATTGGCGCTATAAACATTTCCAAGGCGAATGCATAAAATCATAAATAACACAGCTGAACTGCTTGCTTTGCTTTGTCGCCGCTCAAGTGTCGCTCTGTCGTCGCTTGCAAGCATCTCCCATATTGTCTAGTGGTTAGGATATCCGGCTCTCACCCGGAAGGCCCGGGTTCAATTCCCGGTATGGGAAAACAATTAAATTGTGTCATACTTTTTTTTGAGTTTTTATTTGCATTTTGTTTGAAGACTGTCATGGATATTTTACAATGAATTGCTAGGAAACATAAGATGTGTAATTATTGAATTGAAAATAAACTGAGATAGTGTGATTCATAGGCTAGGACAAATAAATATGAGACTCAGATTTTTTCAAGTTTGCTGTTATTATAGTAAATTAGGTCAATCGAACTGAGATTGTTTATTATCTGTTTCCTGTATAGAGAGAGGTTTTAAGGAACCCAATTTCCTGTGTCAGATATGAGAGGCTTGTAAAAATATTGTTGCTCAGCTTGTACACTGTACACAGTATTGGCTAGACTTTGCCTACAAATATATAATATCATATATAAATCATTTTTTTAAACTGATTATCTTTTATCTAGTATCTTTGGTATCTTTATTGATCATCTTTTTGTTCTTTTTGTTAAATATTTATGAACGTTAGAACTTTTATTGAAAAAAATTCATTTATATTCAGATCACATTTCGCAATTTTGATAGCATCAGCTGAAACCAATTAAATTGATAAGCAACTGAAATAACAGCAGTAACCTGTGTTGAAACCGCGTGTATCATTCATATTACTATTTATATCTATTATTAAGGCAATATGCAATATATACCATTTTGATACAATTTTTAGAAGTTCATTGATAAAAAGGCGATCGGAACGCATGGACTAGCACGTTCCGTCCAGAGGTCAGGCAAACCTATTTCTTCATAGTAGCCTTATCGACTTAGATATACTGATAAACAGATAGACATCTCTATCTTGCAATTTATAACTATAATTAACGCAACGTGCAAAGTTTTGTTATGTCAAAATTTGCTTAGATTTCGTAGAAGTTCATTGACAAAAAGGCGATCGGAACGTGTGGACTGGCACGTTCCGTTCAGATGCCAGGCAAACACCTCTCCTAATAGTAGCTGTATAGCATTAGATATATAGCTGGAGCTGCATATATTATTCAGGTATATCTAATATATATTTACATATATAGTGGACCTGCGACAAACACTGACGCAAGTGAACGCTGCTGCATTTGTTATGGCGCATTAAACACAAAACGATTTCAACAATACTCTAACAATGTGGAAGTGAATTATATGAACACACACGCGAAATAAGTAATAAAAACTTAAATGAAACTGATTCGAATTATTGTCACGTCGCCATACAATGAAGGCGCTGGCACTGAAGGAGGCCTAGCCCGAGCACATTGACACAAAAGCGGGTCAAACTTTGATTAAATCTATGAGTGAATTTATGAATCGTGGGAGATGTTTGATTTATTCATGTGATTTCCCACCAAATGTCAAATTTCAGTCTTCAAAGCTACTAAACGAGAATGAGAAGAGTGGCCAATTTGCCCGGCGTCGTACCGCCGGGGATAGAAGGGGTGGCCAATTGTCCCGGTGGAGGTTAACTTGTAAATTCCATTAAAATTTGATCAAATATATTTATACACTATAAAAAATCATAGAAAGTGGCTCAAATAATTAGCTTATCTGCCATCGGGTAATATCCAATATATTTTTAATCCGAATCACAGTGCCGTAGAAACTTCAGACTAAGCCCATAAATAAACTAAGTTAACCGTCATTAATCTATTATCTTCTCTCAACTGCAGGTCGCTTTGGTCGTGTCATTGTTATACCCAAAGATGGCGATGAGAATATGCTGCGTCGCGAAATCTTTATGGAGCTGCGGCAATTGGATAATCTTATACAGAATGCGACGACCACATATGAAGGCGATACATTCAGCTACAAGGATAACTGTGCACGCTGGGAGAATGAGTGCTTCGAGAATGATATCTTAAACTTGGATGTCTTAATGGATGATGTGAGTAGGAATCTGTACTATAATCGAAATCAAACTAATTTATGGTTAAACCTCTGCAGATCGAATCGGGTCAGCTAAATCTGACATTTCCCATTATGTTCAATCCTGTGACATGGGATGCGCACGCCTTTCCCGTATTCTTCGGTGGCACTAAACTAACAGAGGATAATTATATTATAAGTGTGCCAGCTATACAATTAGTTTACTTTGTCACTGCCGATACAAAGCGCCAAGATGCCAAGTGAGCGAATTCCTTAAGTCAACGAAGAAAACAATCTAACCCGCAATCTCTTCCGCTTAGGGGCGCCGAATGGGAGGAAACCTTCTTGAGGGTCGTGGGCAAAGCTGAAAATACGGGCATGTTCAAACACATATCGGTATCCTATTTCGCCTCACGCACCCTGGACCATGAGCTGGAGAAGAATACCAAGACGGTTGTGCCCTATTTTAGTTCCACCTTTCTGCTCATGGGTTTGTTCAGGTAACCAACTGGTGAGCCATGTCTAGAGCTTATAAAACTAAACTCTTCTATGCATTCCTTTAGCATTATAACCTGCATGATGGGCGATGCGGTGCGCTCAAAGCCTTGGCTAGGCCTGATGGGCAACATCTCGGCTATAATGGCCACCCTGGCGGCCTTCGGCTTGGCCATGTACTGCGGCATTGAGTTCATAGGCATTAATCTGGCGGCACCTTTTCTGATGATTGGTAGGTGCTGAAAACTACACGAGTTCGATTTGATTTAATTTTGCATTTTGTTTTAGGCATTGGCATTGATGACACCTTTGTGATGTTGGCTGGCTGGCGACGCACACCCGCCAAGATGCCCGTGCATTTGCGCATGGGTCACATGATGTCCGAGGCAGCTGTTTCCATAACGATTACATCGGTTACAGACTTCATTTCGTTTCTGATCGGCATCATCAGTCCCTTCCGTTCGGTTAAGATCTTTTGCACCTACTCCGTGTTTGCTGTCTGCTTCACCTTCATGTGGCACATCACCTTCTTTGCCGCCTGCATGGCCATTTCGGGCTACAGGGAACGGAAGAATCTGCATGCCATATTTGGATGCAAAGTGAAGCCCCTGTCGGTGGCCATTAAAGGTAAGTGAAGCAATTTTAAAGGGAAATTGGATCGTGATAGACTGGAAATGCTTGAGATTCTATTTAGAGACTTGGATCTTTTGTGTCTTTGTAAAGACCTTTGATTTTCGTGTGATTTAGGGCACCTTGCTCTTTTTGAGGAGAAAGAAATTCAAGTGCACTTAATCCTATGGAACAGATTTCAATTTAAGAACTCCTCCCTAACTCCTAGCAATCCTAAAAGGAAAGGATTGCTCTTCAGAAAAAAAGATGAGATAAAAGATCTACAAAAACTTAAGCTGGTTAAGACTAGCTGATTTGGATAGAATCAACTCTATCTCTTTTCATACCACACCCAACGCACATCTTCTAGGTCGGTTCCTCTCGGAATTTTTGATGATTTTTTAATGGTTTGGATCAGAAGACTATATTGTGGTTATTTTTCATGGACACAATTAGGTGAAGCAGCTTCGTTCTTGATCTTTCATTAGCATGCAATTAAGCACTTAAGTGTGCGCAATAATGATGGCAAAAATTGGTTGGACATTAGTTGGCCAGTTGGCTATGACAAGGTCCACTTGTTGCCAGTTACTTGGCCCGCACAACCGGCTCAGAGCCAAGCCTATTATCTAGAATTAAATTCGTTTAGACGCCCGACTAGCAGCTGCAACATGAACTTGATCATGAGACACAAACTAGACTAGTCTCAGCCAAGAAGAACGCCGATAGCAATCCGAGGAATTGGGGTCAATGGCAACTGGACTTAAGCCGCTTTTTCTATTTTTATAGAGAAACGAAACTTCCTCTACAAGGCGATTATGGCTGGCGGCATTGATCACAACGATCCGGATAATCCCATCGATAACAAGGATCACATGTTGATGGCCTTCTTCAAAGACAAACTGGCAGCGGTAATCAACAACAAATGGTGCAAGATAATTATCATTTTGGCCTTTGCCAGTTATCTGGCTGGAGCTTGCTATGGCGTTACCCAGATAAAGGAGGGCTTGGAACGTCGCAAACTTTCACGCGAGGATTCGTATTCGGTGGAGTTTTTCGATCGTGAGGATGAATATTATCGCGAATTCCCCTACAGAATGCAGGTGAGTTTTCCTTTTAAGATTTGGGCTTATCAAATGTTTTACTTATTAATCGCTTACAGGTTATTATTGCGGGTCCCTTGAACTACTCTGATCCCCTTGTGCAGGAGCAAATGGAGAATCTGACAAGCACTTTGGAGCACACCTCATATGTAACCTCTTCTTTGTACACCGAATCTTGGCTGCGTTCATTTCTTTCTTTCTTGGATCGCAATAACGATTATCTGAATGAGACCATTGACACTGAGGAATCGTTTATTGAGGCGGTCAAGGAGCACTGGCTATTTCCCGGCAATCCCTTCTCACTGGACGTGCGCCTGAATGAGGACGAGACACAGATTATCGCCTCGAGATTCCTTATACAGGCTGTCAATATTACGGATACCAATCATGAGAAGGAAATGGTGCGCGATTTGCGCAAAATCTGCAAGGACTCGCCGCTAAATGCATCCATCTTCCATCCCTACTTTGTGTTCTTCGATCAATTTGAACTGGTCCGACCCGTTTCACTACAGGCCATGGTCATTGGCGCAATCATCATGATGATCATCTCTTATATATTTATACCCAACATCCTCTGCTCACTGTGGGTGGCCTTTTCGGTTATATCGATTGAGCTGGGCGTTGCGGGCTATATGGCTTTGTGGGACGTCAATCTGGACTCGATATCTATGATCAATCTAATCATGTGCATTGGCTTCTCGGTGGACTTTACCGCTCACATTTGTTATACCTACATGTCATCCAAGAAACGCAGTCCCAAGGCGCGCGTCCGTGAGTCTCTCCACTCGCTTGGACTGCCCATTGTGCAGGGTTCCAGCTCAACGATTTTGGGCATTATAGCACTATTGCTGGCACAGAGTTATATATTTTTGGTGTTCTTCAAAATGGTCTTTCTGGTCATCTTCTTCGGCGCCATGCACGGATTGTTCCTATTGCCGGTGCTGCTGTCGCTATTCGGACCCGGCTCTTGGCTGACCTGGACGGGTCGTGACAATGGCTCCGATGAGGAGGTGGACGACAGTCTGGATGATATGAAGCTGGGACATGTGATGGAGAAACCATTTGCGCAGTCCTATTACATGCAGTATCCCAGCATGGGCATAAATGGACCCTATGCCTATGGCTCCAAGGGCTCCCTGGGTGCGCCCTACAAGGCCTATGGCGGCGATGAGAAGGATCAGGGCTTGGGCACCTCAGGCGAGGACTCCTCGGAGAGCAGTTCTAGTCGCTCGCAGCGACGCCAGCAGCTGGCTTCCACTGTCGTTGCCGTGCCAGAGGAAGATCCCGTCCAGACGCGTGGCGCCCGCTACGAGAAGGGCTGGCGACATTCCAGCTATCAGAACATATACGGCAATAGCGGCGGCATCGCACAGTTCCAGCCGCAGCCCGATCTCTATGGCCAGCAGGTGTCCGCCGCCGAGTGGCGTCAGCGTCTCGACGCGCACGAGCAGCAGCATCAGCGGAACAAGCAAAAGCGCAATCCCTACGAGAACTATGATGACCGGGAGATGCAGCGCGCGCGTCGCAACTCCCACGGCGATGTCATCGATCTGCACACGCCCACGCCCACCTCATCGCTGGACGAGCGCATGCGGCGACAGTATCAGCTGCAGCAGCAGACGCTAAGCGCCGGCAGCGGCGACGACAGCAGCAGCTATCGACATCAGCCGGAGCTGAGTGCGCCACCGCTGGCCAGTAGCTCCGCGAAGCGCTACCATCGCCGTCGCTCCTCGGAGGACTCGACGCGCTATCATCAGCGCTGGCCGGCGAACATTGAGGAGCGTCGTGCGCGACGCGCCCATTCGCCCAGTCAGCGACACTCGCAATCGCATTCCTATACAGAGACTGCCGCCATTGCCGCCAGCTTCGCCCATCGCTCGTCCTCGCATCACAATCTCTACCAGCCGAGCAGCAAAGCGATGCACCAGCCGCCCACATATCAATATGGAGATTACTAAACAATTTTGGTAAATGCAGCGGGAAGTCACTTGAGATTTAGCTTCCTATCTTTAAACAAATCAAAAAAATAACAAAAAATTTAAAAAAAAAAAAACAAACAAACGTAATTAAGCATAGTTTAAACAATTTGCCTGGCGATCCATAAATAATTGCATATATTTATATGAAGCTCGTTCGCTTTTTATTTTCAAATAGTTTTCAGAACAATAACTGCGTTTATGCTATGTGTTCTTTAGAATTTCTAGAAATTCTTTGAGCATTTCTCAGAGTTTCTTGAAATTCTGCGTGCACTTGCAATTAATCTAACAAATGCCGCGATCTGGCAACACTAAATATGTTTGTGGGGTGCATTAAGTTGGCTGCGCCTGAATAAGAGCTCGAATTTATAGTCAATTTTCGTGTCTGCAGTGTTTTAATTAATGTGTTTGAACAGATTTTGTGTACTACGCATAGCATAAACGTAGTTAACATCTTTATTGCCCTAATGTTTGGCTTGCCCTACCAAGAAATTGTTCAGATATTAATATAATATTGATATTAACATCAATTGAAAAATACAAGTTGTAGTAAAATTTTCATATTTTCGCTCATTCATCCTCTTATGATATAGAGCATTATATATTTCTTCATTTATCCAAGTTTGGTATATTTATATTTACGCATATGTCTATTCATTTGGGTTTCTCTTTCTTGTTCTACTGATAGGGAAACATTTTGCATTTTATTTATGTTAAGCCGATTTCGACGAGCCTTATAAACTATGTATATATTATATATCAATACATGCATTTCATGAAAAGCAACGCAAGTCACATAAATTAAGTTCCCACATTATATAAATATGTTACATTTAGTTTTTATTGCAACATATTTCAGTCAGATTTAGGGTTCCATTATCAGAATTGTATTTAAATTAATTTAACTAGAGCCAAGTGTGAGATCAGATTTGATGAAATTTTTGTATAGAGCTGGTAACAAATACTAATAGCTATAAAGAAACTGAATAAATATATGTAACTACTTACTGTAAGTGCTGCAAACTCCCATACTAAATCGAGACTAGACCAAAAACTCGACACATGTGAGGTCTTTAGCATTTCTTAAGTACATTTTTTCTTGGAGGGACACACGTTTGTAAAGTGTTAACGATTTTGCTAATAAATGACTATTTTATATTTTCCTAGAAACCAAGCGTATAATATATATTATTTATCTTTTGGCCACTAATTGCTTTCTAAGCGACTTTTGACGCCACCCTTGTCGCGTCTATATAAATAGCTGGAGACTGTTAAAACAGCTCGAGTTCTTAGCAAAATGTTTCGACTTCTGGTGCTCATTTGCTGTCTGCAGCTGTGGAGCTGTCAGAAAGCCCCCGAGAAATATATCGTTGCCAGTTTTGGCAAGGTGAGCACAGTTCCGAAACGTCTGTATGAGTCAAGTATATTGAAATTCAAGTGTTTTGCCAGGTCAATTGGTTTCAGGCACATCAAATATGCCACCGATCCGACATGATTCTAGCCACAGTCACCAGCTATGAGCAGCATGTGCAGGTGATTCGCAGCATAGCTCTCAATGGTAAAAAAGAACTTTCTAAATTGTTTATATCCACTTCGTTCCTATCAATTCAATCACTGTTCAGGTCATTTGCTGGGCTATGAAGGATTCTGGCTGGGCGCCAGCAATTTGTCGGATTTGAAATCGTGGACTTGGCTGGGCCTTGGTATACCCTTGGGCTATAAGAGATGGGCCAACGATGAGCCACAGTCGGATTTAATTGGTAATGAGGGCTGCATGGTTTTGGGGCTGGACACGTCCTGGTACAGTGTGGACTGCCGCAGTGAATACTATTTCATTTGCGAAAGACAATGCAACTCAACAAAATCCCTTGAGCCCTTGTACATATAAATCGAAATGCAGCTCCTTATACTATAAATCAATTCGACTGCAACGTAGTTGTTTATTTTTTGTAAAATATATTGAAAAAAAAAAGAAGAAATATGCGACACTAAAAGAATCTATTTCAACCCAATGTAATTTAAGGGTTGGTTGAAAAGCAACAAACTCATCGAAGTGCTGCAATTGGGGTGTGTTTTTGTGTGTCATTAAAATTCTCGTTTGCTTTTTCTCAAATTGTAGATACTTATTCATACTTTAGTCACTCGACTTTCGCCAACGACCATACCACGCTGAATACATCGGTTCTCGTCCGATCACCGAAATTAAGCAGCGTCGGGCGCGGTTAGTACTTAGATGGGGGACCGCTTGGGAACACCGCGTGTTGTTGGCATCGGTTGACAACCTATTTTTTAATAACTTCATGACAGTTATCTCTCAGCTCTTAAATCTCATAATTACAAATATTCTGCCTTGCCTTGTCATTTACACAAATTTATTTTGACATTGCCCGATTCAAATTTTATTATATTTTTATAGACTTTAAACTTACATATATCTTAGTCTTATAAAAATACCTTGTTATAAAAGATAACAGCAACTTCATTGAACCTATGAATGGGTCCATATATATATATATACATATGTATATATATATATTTTTTTTATATAATTATATATTTGTATTTACGTATTCAACTCTAAGCTTACACTCTGACTAATTCTATCGTCATCTATCAGTAGGCGGGAGACGAAGTATTCTATAAAAACATCACTGAAAGAGCAGAAAAGCAGAGATAATGTTAATAAGCTTTATCGGCTTGCCGAGCCTTACTTAAACTAGTGAGAATCGCGTAGTAGAGTAATGTTTATAAATACGATTCTATGTTAAATTTCAGTTCAGCTCAAAATACAAATATGGTTAAATACATACATACACGTAACTATTCAAATACATACAAACAAACATTCATACATACGACTGTAAAAGTTATTGCTTTTTTTTTTAAATATAATACCAGTATTTTTAATGACCTCCACTAAAGCCATATCCTCCTTTATAGTCGACTCCCCCTTCCAGTATTAAGGCCACCGCCACCTCCTTTTGAAGTGAAGCCTATGAAACTTACTTGAATTTCTGAGAATGGGATAGCAGGACATTTTTAAGAAAGGTTGTTTCGAATTTTCAACATATAAACATACAAAATATATGCATACGTTCATATACAGATATAAATGGTTACTTAATATATACATACATGCATACACACGTACATACACACGCACATTCATACACACATAAGTACATATTTCATACATACATACAAACATGCATATATGCATACGCGCATACATACAAATATACACAAATATATATTCATATTCACATCCAAAAATTTATACATATAGCGGGTACTTCCTGGCTTTATCCGTGGCAATTTGTATGCTTACACTTTTAAATATAACTTTTCATCCAACTTGGGGCCGTGCAAAATTTAAATCTAACTCTACCACCTTGAACTCCACTTCTATTCGAAAATAAGTTTAAAATCAATCGAACTATGAACCAAAAGATGGAAACAACGGTATTAGCCTATACAATTGTTATCTGATGAAAATCGTTAGGTTATTAATATTAAACTATTAATAAATAAGAAAGTTAATATAAAAATAGTTAGATTAGGTGGAATATAAAATTGCAATGTTGATTTGATATGAATTGTCTGCGAATTTCAGTTATCATATATTAAATCTGTCGAGTGACATACGAATTCACAATTGCTTGTTCTAGAATTGTAGATACATATTCACGCATTAGCCAGTAGACTCTCGCCAACGACCATACTACGCTGAATACATCGGTTCTCGTCCGATCACCGAAATTAAGCAGCGTCGGGCGCGGTTAGTACTTAGATGGGGGACCGCTTGGGAACACCGCGTGTTGTTGGCATCGGTTGATAACCTATTTTTTAAACAAATTAATAGCTGCAGAGAATTTTTCTTTTTCATTCATTTTTAGTATCTGCTGAAAATAATAAATAAATTATCTCTCATCTTATTGATTTAAATATTGTGCTTCGGCCTTTTATTTATTTGTACATCGACATAAGTTAGTTATATATAAAGATAATAATAAATAAACAAATTTCTTAGAAAATGCAGTACAAAATAATAAAACTTAAGAGAATTATTTGAGCAGCAATGAGTTCAAACCAAATATACTACATTACAGTTTGTTTAATTAGCTTAATTTTTGACGTGTAACCCATTTATAAAGGGCATGTTTATGTATATCATAGTTGCAGGCTTTCTATGTTGGAATAGCTTGCTGTTTCCCACAGCTGCATAGCGTATGTCCATACTGGTTAAAGATAATCGCAAGACAGCGACTTTTTCTAAAAATAAATTTAAAATTAAAATAAGCACAAAAATCGAATTCTGATTGCAATTTGAACTTTTAATATATATGAAAATATTCCATTACATTTATGATGCAAGTGCAACTATGAATAGCACCTCATACGCAAGCTTTTTCGCACAGGAAGTGACGCTGTTCTCTGCAATTCTCAGCTGCCCAATCGCCTGTGACTCCATTTAAGGTGACGCAATTATAGCCACCCCCTATCTGACCTGCGAAATTTCGATAGCCTAGTCGCTCTCCACTGCTCTGCCATATATATTGATTGATATCGCCCAGGTTTGAGCCCGAGGTCCATAGGTTCTCGGTAGCAAGGAAAGATACAAGGGAATCATCGGCGGCGTGTATAAAATTGATAATTCGGTCCTGAACTGTTTCCGACGGAATGCTGGCTAGTTTGAAACCATTTGCAGCACAAACGAGCTGAGCCTCAAACCAGTCAAGCTAAAATGGAACAATTATTCAGTTGATGCCGATTGCCGATTGCTTAATGTTTTTACCTTAGCGTATGTGCTCAATCCATATACGCTATTATTATAGGAAAAAATATTAAGGATGGGCTGTGGTGCCTCCTCATCCTCGAGCAATTGCTCGAAGTCATCTTCAGCCCCTGCCGTGCTTGCAGTGCAGAACAGCCAGAAAAGACCGAGAACTATGGACTTCATTTTGTAAAGAGCCCAAAACTGCATTCCCTTTTATACAATTTGCCGATGTCAAAACTAATTGACGAGTGAATCCATCATTGTCATTCGATAAGCTAAACATCTAATTATTTGATTATTTTGC